AATCAAAATTGAATTTCTAATTAATATCTAATTATCTTAATTTAATTATAATTTGAAGTATCTAAACATGGCTTTTATAAAAGCCTCTTAGATTATTTTCTTATCTTAATAGTTAGTAGGTTGAAGGTTAGTTAGTAACTTTACCTTCTAGGTTGTAGAGACTCTTCTACTAACTTAGAAAGACCATAAATTAAAAAAATCAGAGTAGAAGAAATAAATGGTTGATACGATTGATACTAGAGTCAAGTTAAGGATAGAATTGGGCTAAAAAATCCTTAGGATCAGTTAGATTGATACTAGAGGGTCGACCATTTGTGAGACAGGGTCGAAATCAGACCTTTGGTTACAAAAACGATTGCCGAGGGCAAGTTAAGAATTCATTTGAAGATCAAAGTTTAAGATTTGAGAGCTAACTTGAATTTCTTTTTAAAGACGTAAGAATTATTTTGGGAGGATTTTTGAGGACTTAGTAGTTATTATTCAAAGACAAGGTTTGTATTAGTGATTTGGATTTTATATAATATAATTAGGACTAGCAATTTTGGCTAGGTCGTGCAATTGGTGTAACATCTACAGTTGAAAATTTGAAACTATTTGGATTATTGGGTGTGCTAAGTGCATACAAAATTTTATAATAATCTAACAGCGTGGTTTAGAGATATCTAGTTTTTAGTCCAAGAGGATTTCAGAAGATAGCAGTTTGAGGTTGGGTAGAGTTTCTATGATTTCTAAAGATCTATTAGTTGGATAAAAGTGAAAATTGGCATGGTTTTGAAGGACTTGAAGTTCAAGCTACAAACCAATTTTGAGACAAAGCTAATAGTTGGAAAGGGAGAAATCACTGATCGGATTTTTGCTTCACTTTTCAAGTTGGCAGTAGAGTTACATTAGTGAATTTTTTGGAGGTTTTCTCATAATCTATAAGTTGGATTGGACTAAATGTTCTTGTGCATATAGAAGACTTATATTGAAAATTGCATGCAATATTCTACATCAAGTAGACAGTCGGATTGAATATTATAACTTGTTAAAGCTCATCGATTAAGATTGGGACTTACAGGAAAAATCTAAATTGCTTAAATATGAAAGTAACAAGATAATTGAGATTTATGTATGATTAAGACTACTAAGAAAAGTTTTTTTAGCACTTTTAAATTGAAATTCAGATTATATTCTTCTCATATGGATGAAACTTATTAGGATTTCTTGACTACTTGTGAAACACAATTTCACCTTCCGTAGCTAGATGCCCGGTGCATTCCTGAGCAAGATAACATGTAATATGACAATGGATATATATATTTATTCTAATAGTTACTTATATGATTAGGTAGAAGTAGGTAAATATAGATTAATTTTATAAAGTCTTCTAAAGAAGCTTCTTAGAAGCTTCATAGATGTGATTTTGACTTTAGATGTATTTGTAGGTTAAAAACTTTGCCAACAAGTTAACCACGTGTTAGTAGCTTGTAGAACAAGTTAACTCCATGTTGTAGCTTGTGAAATAAGCTAATTATATGGCACATACATAAATAACTTGCCTTGCAAGTTAAGACATGTGGCTAGTAAAGTCAACACATGTTAGAAGTTCTAGAGAATATTGCGACATAACTTCTAGTTAGAAAGTATATATGGAAGCAAGAGTGAAGCCTTCTTCACTCTTGTCAATGCTTTTTTAGTCTTTATTATTTTTCTAAGACTTTTTAGTTTTCTTGTTTTTTACAATAACCATTCTAGTTTAATATTATATCATCTTTGAGTGATTTTTTACTTTCTTTCAAAAATACAAGAATGTGTTGAGGATTTTCTTTCTTCGAGATTCATGTCTTTCATAAAATATTTTATTTGAAGGAAGTTATTAAGGCTTCAACAATAATGAAATAATAAGGTAGTCTTCTTGCATTGGTATGGGACACTATTGATGGCTAAGAGGACCTATCAACTATCTTAAACAAAACAAAGATTAGAATATGTGGTAAATACAATTTGTTGCATCTTGGATTTTTTCCATACATGATGACCACTCATTGTGGAACTTGTTCCTAAAAAAGAGATAATTTCACAAATATAAATATTTATTATAACATTTATCTATATGATTAAGTAAAAATAAATAAGAATAAATTTATTTCATAATATTTTTTTAGAGAAGCTTCTTAAAAGCTTTATAGACATTGCTTTGATTTTACATATATTTGTAGTTAATAGGTAGAATAAAAACTTAGTTAATAAATTAACCACGTATTGATAGCTTATTCTACAAGCTAAATATGTGGCATACATATAAAAAACTTGCCTTGCAAATTAAAATACATGTCTTGTATAGTCAATATGCTTTTGAGGTTCTGTAGAATATTGCCACATAGCTCCTAGTTAAGAGTATATACAGAGGCAAGAGTGAAGCCTTCTTTACTCTTGTCAACACCTATCTAGACTTAAGTCTTATTTTAAGATTTTTTTTTTTTTTTTTTTTTTTAGTAATAGCTACTTTAATTCAATACTATACCATCTTTGATTGATGTTTTAGTTCTTAGACTGATACAAGAGCGTATTAAGGATTTTTTTCTTCAAGCTTTGTAACCTTGATATTTGTGGATGAGGATTTTGAGGACTATGACTATAGTTAGTAGCTTATATTTCCTTTGATTTGATTCCTATTTTTAATATTTTATTCAGTAATTTTAAAATTTTAAAATTTATAACTTGAATTAAGGTCAATGAATTAAATTTGCCTAAATTATATTAATAATAAATGAATTTATTGATATTTTATTAAAAAGAAAATTTTGATTTGAAATTAGAATTAGGATTTGGATGCACCTTGACACAATAAAGAAATTAAACAAAATTTTGTACTAAGCCTATGAACTATCCTTTCATATTTGAGTTGATTTAGATAATATTGTGCTTTTTACAATCCACTTGCAATTAAAGATCTTTTATTTTTTTAAGCAAGCTTGCCTTCTTGACATTGTATTATTATTACAATATGTTATAAAAAAATAGAAAGAAGTAGCATAAAAAAAATCAAGCAATTTAATTACATTAATTTAGACAAATAAGCCTTTGATGAATCAAATGAATTCTTTTAAGTTTCATCTATAAGATTTGATAGATGCCTACAATATATATATATATATATATATATATATATATATATAAATCATATATAATGTCATCGATTTTTATTCCTAAGTATAGATTTCTTATGAATTTATATTGAATTTTGAATCTTAAATATGTTTTAAGCTATTTAATATTAATAAATTTCTTTACTAAAGTGAAGAATGATATTTTAAATTGAACTTGTGTATTTGAAAGTAAATTATATAGCTTGTTTTTGGCTTCTTGAGTAATATTATATAATAGATTGATGACAAACAATTATAATCCATGCTACCATGTATAATGTATTTTGTAGCCATTATGTTAGACCAACTTTTTTCAACAATTTTAATGGCCAATCCATTGTTGACTATCTCCTCTATTCTCACCTCTATTTCCAACATATATGTCTACCTAATTCTATTGGTAAGGTATTGTGTTGTAGTTCGGCTATCATGTAAAATTAATGTATACATACATATATATATATATATATATAGATATAGATACATGGATAATTTGCTATACAATGGAGTGCAAGCCATGTTATTAGATTTTAGTTGGTTACAAAAATATAATTAGATTACTACTTTGAAGTGGTTAGTTTTAAAATATTATTACTAAAATTGATTTTATGTTGATAATAGTTTTTATATATTTAAAGCCACCTATATTAGATATTGGTGACTCTTGAAATTTTGTTTTATTTCTTTTATTTTTTTTTTAGAAAATATATTATATAAATTTAATAAAAAAAAAGAATTGAAGAAGAATTTTGGTAGCAAAAATAATAGTTAAGGCATTAATATGGATGAATGGAGATGGATGATAAAAATTTCTATTAATATTGGCCAAAAGGCATATTGAATGGACTTCAAGGAGGCTGCTTGAGGCCTTATTAAGAATTAGGTTTATTCTTTCAAGGGAATTCAAACTTATGAGGCTAAGATCAAGAAGTTTAGGTTTTTGGCTATGATTTTGGTACAAATTTTATTTCATTTAGAGCTTTTATGAAAAAGATATAGGCGCTCAAAATTAAGGTATTGGTTTTGTACTTATTGTTCTTCTTTTGGACATTATACATATATACAAAAAAAACAATGAAGGATCGGCAACTAAGATTAATGACAATACTTTTTTAGCTACACTTATTATATATTCCTTAATGAATTCTAAGCCAATACGAAAGACATATAGGAAGTTGAAGTTAATGCTTGCAATCTAACGGCAGTAAATTACTTGATTTACTAGTGTTTGGATTTTGAGCTTTATCTTAAGAAATTTGATAAGATTTTGGCTCAAAATTTCAAAGAATGTGTATAATTATGTTGCTAAATTTTAGACATAAATTTTGTGGCATTTAAAGTTGGGATTTTTGAAATATGGAGAAAATAATACTCGGGTGCTTGTAAATTAGGGTTTAGACCACCTGCTAGGATTTCTAAGATGCCAAATGATGAGTAGTAGATTAATAGTTCATTTTTATTTATTATTTTTTTATGGTAAAAGTTTAGGATAAATTCTAAATTATCTAAAGAATTAAAAAAAAATTAAACAGATGGAACAAGAGATATGAATTTCTGAAGTTTACAAAGAAAAAATCATTTGCAAGAGAAAAATGTATTAAAAAGGTTTTGCTACAATTTGGGCATTTTATGCAAAGTAAAGGGGTTTTTGGAAGCTAAGACTGGGGACGGGGTGGGGCTGGGCTGGGCTGGAAGCAATCCAACGCCACAAGTGAGGGGCTGGCCAACTGGGATGAGAGCCGGGGAGGATCATGGGGACCTGGCGGACGCCAGCCAATGGGAGCGGGGCGACGCAGATAGAGGGCGGGGCGCCCAATCGTGAGCGGAGGTCCTTATCCCTTCGCGTTGCGCCCCGGCGATCTTCGGATCCGTCCTGGCGCTACAATTTGCTGCGCCCCTTACATGCAGCCTCGCATCGCAGCATCTGCCATACCTCTATCGATCGCAGCCCAAGAATTCCCCGCCCCTCCCTGTGAGCAGTAAGCTAGCTGCAGCTATGGCGTCCGCCGTGTGCGCCTCCTCCAGCGTTGCCGCCGTCGCGGCCCCCTCCACCAGGTGTGTGTGAGCTTGATTCCCCTCCTCTCTTCCCCTCTTCCTGTGGTGTGCAGCTCTGCTGGAGCCCTCTACGATTGCGAGCAAGAAGTCGAGTAGCTGGCTCATGGAGGATAACTTGGGTTGCTTTAGCATTTCCTTGTTGTGCGCATTGTTGGGGGCCGCGTGGGTAGAATGGTGTTCTGTTACAGTGATTGCATCGGACTTCCCTGCCTTGGAAGCGTCGGGTTAGAGTGAATTTCAGGCTGGTTGCGACCGTAGTGAGCGTCGGCTGTTGGTGGGAACGGGTGTGTGTCTGGGATGGCGGTGCGAGCGGCTCGCACCGGCGTTGTGTGAGCGCGGTGGCCCCCTGCATGTGAGGTAGGGGGTCATGGAAACGGAATGGGTTTGTGGCGGCCAGGAATTTGGGTGGTGTCGTCGAGCGGGGAACTGGAATTGGTTCCACGTTGTAGAGGGTCAGGTTCGGGTGGGGTTTGATCCGCGGCAGGGGACCCAATTCGGCAGTAAGGGGTGGGTGGGTGTGTCGCGGAGAGCGCCATGTTGCGAAGCGTGGGGTAGAGTGGAATGATGTGAGCTCTCTGCGGTGGTATGACCTAGGACGAGTTAGAGGTCTGACGAGTTTTGGCATGGTTGGCGGTCTGCAGTAAGGTGGTGAGCAATGTGGGATCCGCCAGGACTTCGTTCTTGGCCGGAAGAGCTCTTCGCACGACTCAGGTGTGCGGCGCGGCCAAGGGTGACATGACCGTGTCCGCGACCCTGACCGGGAACAAGACCGACAGGCCGCTGTGGCTTCCAGGTAGCGAAGCCCCGAAGTGGCTGGACGGGAGCCTTCCAGGAGACTACGGCTTCGATCCCCTGGACCTCGGTAAGAAGAGAATGATTGTAGGGCAGTTGCAATGGGGATGGTATGTTGTAGGTATGGCGACGTCTGGGATGGGGTGTGCGATGTCTGACCGGAGGTGAATGGATATGTGCAGCGGCCGAGCCCGGGCGTCTGAACTGGATGGTGCAGGCTGAGCTGGTGCACTGCCGCTGGGCCATGCTCGGCGCCGCCGGCATCTTCATCCCAGAGCTGCTGACGAAGATCGGGATCTTGAACACCCCATCGTGGTACAAGGCCGGCGACGCGACGTACTTCGCTGACCAGGGCACCCTCTTCATTGTTGAGCTTCTGCTCATGGCGTGGGCCGAGAGCAGGAGGTGGGCCGACATTGCGAGGCCGGGGAGCGTGAACACCGACCCCATCTTCCCCAACAACAAGCTGACGGGCACGGACGTCGGGTACCCGGGAGGCTTGTGGTTCGACCCCTTGGGATGGGGCTCGGGATCCGAGGACAAGTTGAAGGAGATCAGGACCAAGGAGGTGAAGAATGGGCGCCTGGCCATGCTCGCGGTGTTGGGCGCGTTCGTGCAGGCTAACGTGACGCACGTCGGCCCCATCGACAACCTGTTTGCGCACTTGGCGGACCCCTACCACACCACCATCTTGCAATCCGTAAGTTCTGTTTTTTTGACGGCTTGGGAGGATGCATGTTTGGGGTTGCACGGCGGTGGACTGGTGATGTAAGTGGGCGGGCGGGTGTGCGTGCGGGGTTTTGTGGTTTTGAGATGGGGTGTGGTGTAGTTTAGATGGGGGGCCGTTGCAAATGCGGTGTGACTGAAGTGCGTGGTTGCGGTTGTGCAGTTGTTCGGAAAGTAAAGCGGGAGCATCTGTTGACAACATCAAGGGAAGGGCGCAGCGTCGAGCGTAGCCTGGTCTTGAATCTAGATAGCAGCAGTCGAATGGAAGTTGATATTCTGGAATCAGTAAAATGTGCATACTTTTGTTTTTTTTTTGTACGATATTCACAGTCGCAGATTAGTCTCGTTCGAGCTGCATGTACGACGTGACTGGTTTCAGATGCACCTGTACACTATACGCTGGTTATTTACGAATGAAGTTTTGGAACTCTGAGTTTTCCGCGCACACATTTGAGTTGCAACGTGCATGGTATCGGCGATGCGCGTCGCTGTGGTAGGCTGATGCCGCGCACAGGCCTGGGGTTGGCCTGATGGGGGAGGTAGTGTGGGATCGGTGTGGGGAGTGGGGTAAGTTGTTTGTTCTTTTGGGGCTGAAACACGTAAAGTAGGCATGCTCGCACAACCCGCGGTCAGACTCCGTGCTGGGCCGTGAGGGCACTGGGGAACGGGGTGACCCGCAGGTGAGGTGGCGACGCACGCCCGCATGCTGTGTCGAAATGGGATGGTCACAAGCAGCAGAGTCACTCCGCGGAGGTGGATGGAAGTGGAGGGACAGAGCATTATCCATGTAGTTTTTGCCGCCTCGAGTAGAGTTTCCTAAACCGGTCGTCGGTCCAGCGCACGAGGTGCAGTGTCTGTGAGGCAGAGCTAGGAACTGCGAGGGTCACGGATTAGAACCCATGTGTGGTGTGCACCATGTCACCATCGCACAGCGGAAGGGTGACTGGTGGACAGGGGAGGGAGACATGTATGTGACGCGGCGTGACAAAGTTTGGAATGTTGACGCTGCAGGCCACGATGATTCGAGGAACGGGTTTTGCTGCAACGGACAGTTAAGGAGAGATGTTGATGGGAATGTTTGTGATGGTGGGTTTGGACGGTATGAGTGTTGTTCCCCAGAGATAGTGTTGCATTGTCGAACCATCTTTTGTTTGTGGCACAAACAAGCATGAAGAACGGAATACTTATCATTGACCATTCTGCGATGATATGTGTTCATGAAGTGGGGATTTGCACGGTGGTCGTAGCCGAGGAGGGTGTGTAAAAATAAATTGAATTGAAAACGTGCTTGTGTTTGCGGGTTTTCCACTATCGATGCGTGACCACGATAAGTACAGATGAGATGGGGATGTGAAATCAAACACATGTCTCAGAGCATGGAGGCACAGAAACCGACATGGTTGTTTGGAAGTGTGTTGCAGTCCCCAGTGAAATCCAATATTGACAAGTTGGCTGGCTGCAATATTCGTGGAATATCGTCTTGCATTATCTGTTTCATGAAGTGTGTGTGCGTGTAACCTTGAGCGGAAAACAAGTGCAGTCTTTTTGTTGAGTGGTTATGAAGAGCAGCTGAACCTTGTGAAGAAGCAAAGGAAAAGGCGTTGGACATGCTGCAATGTGGATATGATTTTCACTGGGGAACAGTGGCGCTTTGTGATGTGTATTTTTGCAGTGGTTTGGTGACATGTCGGTGATTCAAGATACAGTCATCAGAAGAATATTTTTGCAATCAGTACTTTTTGAAGTAAATTCTAGAAAGTTTTGTTTAGACTCAATTTTTGGTTTTTTTACTGAAGAATTGCTAAATGTACAGTATGGCACATTGAAGGAAATGAAACATAAAGAAGCTCAAAGGTTTATTATTCCAATATGACCCATAGATTATTTAGTATATTCTTGACATCATGCAAAAGAAATTAGATGTGAACGTATTTAATAAATCAATGCAATGTTTTAATGAATTTGTATATATTGGTGATTTTTGTACTATTGAAGTTAGAAGATTTAAATTTATTTAAAAACATGCGATTTGCACTATTCAACAACATTTATTCTCTAATGGATTATCATTACAATAGATTCATGTCACATGACTTGTTGTTGTTGAGAGCATTAAATGTAGCTAATTCTCTCTTTAACATTTATTGTAGTCTACAATAAATACTATAGCTACTGTATTTGGAATGTAGTAGAGAATCTGTTTATCCTCTCTCCTTCTCCTCTTGTATATGAGATACAACTAGATCAATAAACTTTTGTGTGAAGCTCTCTCTCTCCTTAGAAACTCTCTTGTGTGTGTGTGAATTACTTATTACTACTTTTGTGTCTCTTCTATAGACTATCGCAATTTTTTTATCTTTTCTTTTTTTTAGTTCTAGTCTTGACTCTTCAAACCTGTTGCTACTCTTGCTCCTCGTGTGACTCATGGTCTTGCTGCACTTCATGTTGGCCCCTCACACATTAGCTACTTGATTAGAGCACTTACTCCACTCTATGCCCTGCTTGTTCAGAATACTTGCTCCAGTCCATTCTCTTTGTTGTGCCCCGTGCTTGCCGCCAAACACCTGCTGCTGCTTGTTGCCGATCTTGCCATTGATATTGTCCTGCTATCAAATAGCCGCCGACCTTGCGGTTGACTACTGCTACCAATAATTACCAACTGCTACCAAATAGTCATCAACTTCGCTGCTAACTGCCGTTGCTGCTGCCTTGCTGCTCCCACAATCCATAATCTTGTTAAAAAAAAATATATATATATATATATAATTAATTAATTAATATTTTTGATTTCAAGTTTAATTTTATTATTTTATTTGATTTTATATTTTAAGGTACATTTTACTCAACTTTTCTACTTGAACTTGTATTTTCTTTACAGATTTATTTATAATAAGTGCTTCAATATCTTCAACTACTTCTACTATGGTTTCAACTACTATTAGTGCATTCTAATATTTTCAAGCTCGTTTATTTCTACCATTGACTATAAATGGAAAAAATTATCTATTATGAGCAAAAATGACAAAAACAAATTTATTTTCAGAACAACTCTCAGATGTTATTATGTTTGAAGAATTTCCTACAATAAGTATTTCTATTTCTCCTGCTATCCATTGAAAAGCACTTCTTTTCCTTCATCATCATCTTGTACGTACATTACAACATTAATATTTGAAAATGAAAGATCATGTAGAACTTTGGAAGAATCTTAAATCCAAGTTTGATCATCAAAAGACCATTTTCCTTCCACATATACATTATAATTGGACACATTTATGTATCTTGGATTTTTTAAATTTAAATACTTTCAATAGTAAAATATATAGTATTTTTTTATAATTATGATTATGTGGACAAAACATCTATAAAGAAGAAATTATTGAGAAAACTCTCTCTACATTTCTCCATATATCTGTTGTGCTTGCACAATTATATAGGAATATGAAATTTCATAGTCATTCTAATCTCATATCCTATCTACTTCTTGCGGAGAAGCAAAATGAGCTATTCTTGCACAATGCGGAAGCTCGTCCTATTGGAACCATAGTTCCAAAATCTCATGCACTTAATATTTCAAAATCTAAGAAAAAATTACATAAACATGGAAAACGTACTCATAAGCATCAAGGCAGTCACAATCATGGCCATTTCTACCCATATAGAAAGAATAAATGTTCTACTATTAATTATAGTAAAAAACAAAAATCAGAGATGCGTTCTTGCCATAAATGTGGAATATTTGGTCATTTAGCACATGTGTGTCATATTTCAAAATATTTTATTAAAATATTCCAAAAAATTAAGAAACTATAAGCTGAGGCTTGTGAAATTCATACCATGGATGCATCTATGGATTCAATAGGTGTTGATGATTTAAAGGCTTATATGAATGATAAAACCTCTAATTATGAATCAAATGATACGCTCATTGATTCTGCAACAACACATACTATCATGCGGGATAGACAATTTTTTTATTAAAAAATCTTCAACTTGGCAAACTAAAAATATGATGACTATGGCTGGAGCAAATGTGTTTTGTTTCCAAGAGGGCTCAGCAATGATAAAATTACTTGTGGGTTCCATTATAAAATATAAACATGTAATATTTGCACCCTTAGTACTTTAGAGTGTGATCAACTATTGAGATGTGTGTATCAATGGTTATCACCTATCGACTCCTATTTTAAATAAAAAAGAGATTTTGGTTCTTGTGAAGAATCATAAAGTTGTTAAAAAAGCTTTTGCTACAAAAAATGGTTTATACCGAATTGCAATTCGGCCTCCTATTATATTTAATTTTGCATCATCTATCAAAGAGAGTCATGCTTCTCTATGGTTTGGATGATTGGGACATCTAAGATCTACATTATTTAGAAAGATCATTCTATGTATAACTCGACATAATTTAAAGCTTGCGGATGTAGATTCTATAGAATTATGTCATGCATGTGTGTAAGACAAGATGATTACTCGGCCTTCAATTTGAAAATTTCTACTCATTTTGTGTGACTATCAATTCATGATGATATATCCATGCATAATGTACCTTCAATTCATGTGAAAAAAAATCTTGGAATTGGAAGGAATAAGAACAAGTTGAATAAAGAATTATCTATTATGTATTGTACTACAACTGATATTTGGGATACACCATCTATTACGGTAGATGAATCATTTGCATGTATGATTATAGAAGCTCTTTCTTCCAAGGAAGATGATCCTAATATGCTTTGGCATTGTTTATGAATCCACATATTCTCTAATCATAGATTCAATTATATTTTGATATATTATTGGAATTGTAGTTCATGCCACCCTTGCGATGCATCTGATGGATGTGGTAACTACATATCTATATGGTTTTCTTGATGCAAATATTTATATGAAAATTCCACCTGTCTTAGAAATAAGAACTCCAAATGGACTTGCCCCAAGACAATATCGTGATATTAAATTATGTAAGGCCTTGTATGATTTAAAATAATTTGGATGTATGTGGTATCAACATCTTTGAGATTATTTAATTATAAATAAATTTGTAAGTAATCCACTAATCTCTTATTTGTTTATCAAACGAGATAAAATTGGTTTTGTGATCATTTCCATATATGTTGATGATCTTAACCTAGTGGATACTAAATATACATGTCTTGCAGCTACTAACCTACTTATATATGAATTTGAGATGAAAATGCTAGGAAAAATAACTTTCTACATTGGTCTTCAGATTATTCATCTTATAGATGGTAGCATTTTTTTCTACCAACTAACGTATATTAGAAAAAACTTGTGGAGATTTAATATGATTGATGCTTATCCATTATCCATACCAATGGTTGAACGTGGTTGTGATGGTCATGATCTACACCTTCCATGTGAGAAGGAAGAAGAAATATTGAGAGATCAATATCCATACCTTACAGCAGTTGGAGCACTTTTATA